ACAGGATTCTGGTCCGTGCAGAGGATCTATAAGACGATGGAGCTATGACGCCTCAAGAGGATTTTGCGTTGAATTCACTTATGGTGGTTGTCAAGGCAATTCCAACAATTTCGAAACTCGAGAGGCTTGTGAAGCCAAATGCTCTGGTAAGCTTCCTCTATGTTAGTCAGACAGTAATTCAAACTTAGGCAATAACAATAACAAAAATTGATTGAATTATGGGGTGATAAACTGCTAACGTAATAAATGAAGAACTAAAACTTAAGTGAATAATTAGGAAATGCTTGGCTTAGTTAACATTTCATCAACGCTTAAAATGAAAATCAAGTTTTTTTAATTAGTTTACCATTATTAACAAAAGCGTTGAGTACCTATTGATTTCACTTACTTTATTTGAGTTGGTTTTAAATGAACGAAAATAATGAAACATAATGCCTCATTTTTAAAAAGGGAATGAAACTTAGGAGATCAGTGCTTCATTGTTAGATAATGAAAATATATAATTTTAATTAGAGAATTCACATAATGATTTCGTGGATCATCTTGCCCGGAAGCAGTGTGTCCTATTAAATTAAATAAATAATAAACAAGACATGTTTCGAGGCTTTAAGCCGATTGTTATTATCAAAATTTATCGCGATGAACATGTTAAGAGTTAAGAATTTGAGTTCTGGAAGGGTTTGAATATAGAAACATCTCATTACTTATAATCATTTCACCAAATTTTTATTGATTTGAGAAATTAATTTGTGTTCTAGATATTTTTCATTGAAAATGTGTTAAGATACCATTCTCTCAAGGCATATTAGTTGAAATATGGCATTTTAATTTATTTAAACAAAGGAATTTGGAATATTTCAATTGATCTAAACTTGGTGCCACGTCGATTAAGTAAAGGAGAATTTTTTTGAAAAAATCCTACTGGAGCCTCGAATTTTTTGAACAGTCTTTCGTACCCCTTGACTTGACAGACGCGCGCGTTGCTAACTCGACTAGTGATTGCGTGACTTTTTATCCCTTCTGTCAATAACATGCTGAAGTCTTCAATTTCTCGCTTAATTTACTTATCCCATGAAAGGCCCCCTACCTTCCAAAATATGAAAAACACTTCGCTCATATGCTGCACTTCATCAAGATAAAGTGCTAAATCCTACAATAGCCCCTCTCCCCAGTCGTTCTGTATTTTGCATCCTTGTCCTTAGTCCCGGCATTTGCATAGAAAATGTGCAATTTGAGTGAATATTCTACATACTGACTCATGTTGACAGCATTAATTGATGCGAATTAGTAAATAGATCAACTTTAAAAGGTGAATTTACACGGTAAACTACCCCCCCCCCCCCCCAACAAGGTTTCTCTCCAATCAATGACAGCAAATTTGAAAAATAGATTTCTCCCTAAAATTCTTCAGTATAAAATAGGAAGCAATTCAAAAGATGGCGAAGTTTGATTGCACGAAAGAAATCATTAAAGTTTGAAGACCTCTCAAATTAGCTCATCATGATTTTAAAATTTTAAATCCTCACAACCAATTCGTAACTTTGGCGCGATCTGTTTATGCTTCATTTCAGTTTCCCCGTCCAGAAATGACGTTCTACCAATTTCATCTGGTGGTTTAAGTTCGAACGCCATTTGCAATTTGCCTCAGGATACTGGTCCTTGCCGAGCACAGTTACCTCGATGGGCTTTCGATGCCTCCAAGGGTCAATGCGTTCAATTCAACTATGGAGGCTGCCGTGGGAATGAGAATAACTTTGAGACTATACAAGAGTGCGAAGCTGCTTGTGGAGGTAAATATCGTTTTTTTCGATAACAAAGTGTTGATTTTAATTGCAAGATTGGTAATTATTCCTTGTTTTTTGCTCAAATATTTTTGAGAAAGAATGAAATAGCTTTCAATTCCATCCTGAAAATCTCTGATTTAAATTAATTTTAAACATTTTTGTTTAATTTCGCGCGCATTTTCACTCGTCACTTAGAAGGCTCTGAGGACTGCTTAATTTGTAAGATTTACAATTTCGCTAAATAGGGACTAGTACAAGAAAATATAATTTGTTGAGGACCACTTTTCTGACTTTATTCGGTATAAATTTAAAATTTATTTTGGCTATTATAATTCAATTCAATCATTTTTCTATCTTATCACCAGGTTTCACAAAAATCCACCATGGGCGGTTAAACGGAAAATTCCATTTAATGAAACCGCCCACCTAAAGAAGTTCCCACGAGCCGTAATATAGAAGTAAAATATTTCACCTAAGAAAAATATATACATATATGCTTCGGATGAAAAGACTTTCGGAAAAACCCGGTTTAATTTTAAAAAAAACTTTTGCTAATTTCTTAAATCTGAATATGAAGGAAGTGGAACAATGGACACCTCTCAATGCCATCTACCTCTGGAGACAGGGAAATGCAGGGGCTATTTCAAAAAATGGGGTTTCGATGCGAGCTCTGGTCAATGCATTCAATTCATCTACGGAGGATGCGGTGGAAATTCAAACAATTTCGAAACAAAGGAAGCTTGTGAACAACAATGTCGTGGTAATTTTCCCTTTTCAATGCAAAGAACCTAAATGTTGATTTAGTTCAAATTAAACTGTTGTGCTTTTCTCTGAAGCCTCAATACCAATGCCGTTGGGAGAAAATGACAATTTAAACGCAATTGATTCTGTCTGTAAGTTGATGAAAGACCCTGGTCCTTGCAGAGGGTCAATAAGCCGATGGGCCTTCGATTCGGAAAGGAGAGAGTGCACTGAATTTTTCTACGGTGGCTGCCAAGGAAACGGTAATAACTTTGAGACAAGAGATGCTTGTGAAGCCAAATGTTTAGGTAACTTCAGCACCGTCTTGAGCAGTAGACCACAATTGCGTCTAGTGAGTATCATCAATTTCCCTTGTAGTTTCCAGCAGTCCAGTGGTCCCGCCAATTTCAAACAACGACCACGTGGCCAGGAATGGTATTCAACAGATTTCAGTCTGCCAGTTGCCGCATGAGAGAGGTGAATGCATAGCTTACATACCAAGATGGGGTTACAATGCCCAATCAGGAAAATGTGTGCAGTTTATCTACGGTGGTTGTGGGGGAAATGGAAACAATTTCGAGACGCAAGAGGACTGTGAAAAAAAATGCAATGGAAAGTCACTTTTCATTATAATATTCATGTAACAACAGCGTTCTATTACTCCCTATGAATGGTACTTGGAAAATTATTGATCTCCCTTTAATTAATATTGCTGTAACCTCACCAACACTATTCAATGCTTGAAAGGCAAAGCAACATTCGAAAGAACTTTCAACATTTCGATGCCGTGGATCTGTGTATGCAAGTCGATTAATGCAGCGTTCTGGAGAGCTCATGTGAGCAAGGTCAGACAATCTAGAAGTCACCTAGATGCTCTAACACTTTCCAATTAACAACAAACTGTGAATTGTGGAGTCCGTGATTATTTAAATATTTCCGTTTCAATGTTGAAACCAACATATAACAATGCTAATTTATACACATTTTATATGAAAATGGGGCAAATTTTTCAACTATGACGTGATTGAGGAAAACCAATATTTATTTATTTATATCAAATGGCAGTCGTTTTGATGGTTTTCATTAGCTCTTTAGTCGACTTCAGGCTTCACAGGGGAGGGGGAAGGAACAACAAATTGAAAAAAGTCGAGATAATGGGAATAGAGAATGTTTTAAAGATGTAAGAGACAAACACAAAGGTAGAAAAAAGGTGAGGTGAGTACTGTGGAAATAGTCGAATATGGCATAGAGTGAGGTGATGGTAGTTTAAAGTGAGAAGTCAACTTCCAGTTAATAGACTTTTTGCCTTATGCACCACGTGGAGGTAAGTCTATCGCACACCCCAGGAAAACCAATAAGAGTAGCTTCATTCATCCAGATATCCGGCAGAGAGGTATTCGCATTCCTACGGTGGAAAGAATATCATACCAAGAATATTGAAATATTAATATTAATAATAGCATTATATCAAAAGACATCTTATAATAGGGCAGGCTGAAACCGGTTGGTAATACAAATATGCAAAATTAGAGAGGGCTAAAAAATTTTTTGTTCATTGAATTTCCCTT